GTTCATTTATATACTTGTACCCAGGAAGTGTATTTTCGTCACAATAACCTACTCTGCAACATCGGATGACTACTGGATAGACAGCTCTTTCAGAGACAGTCCATTGAAGAAGACAGATAGATAGATAGATATCACCAGGTCATGTGACGTGGCTTAGACAGCTATGTTCGAACACCGATAGTCTATATTCAACCCGCTCCTTTTGCAGGCAAGTCATTGCACCAAATTGCAGTACCGGTCGAACTGCCGCAGTACACACTCAACCTCTCATAGATAACCGAACATCAGTAGGGTTCCACACATCACTTTTCATATGGATCAACGACAACTGACCCTTCTGTCCGCACCAAATTATTATCAGGCAAGTCGCTGCATATTCAGTTAGAGTGCGATTGGGAGTTAGATCAGAACAATATCTAACAATTTGACGGTTGAAAACGCTAAAATCAATAATCAATGATACAATCTGAGTGGCAAAAATTGAAGGTAGCTCGTGTGCTTTGGGAGTGATGCGGAACTAGGGAGACAAAAGAGAGAGTTTTTCCAATCGGTATCCAAGATTCTAGGATATGGCATTTACTGCGGTAGCCCACACAGACGAAGGAGATTTTTTTTCGGCGGGGGGGGAACTGTGACCGGTTCGTTTGATTGGTAAATGGCACTTCACTGTGTGTTCATTTCTTGGGGTGACTTCTCCCGAGAAAGGAAATGGATAGTTAAGTAAGACAGCTAGAGACTAGCCAGTTATGGTTGAGATTCGATTAACTTCTAACCGATTGACTGCTCCGGTGGATCAGTTGTCGATTAAAAAAAAAATACTTTTCATAATTTTAAGGATACCAGTTATAAGTCGATCTTTTTTTATTCCTGTGCGACCAAGCTTCCCATGTATGATAGTGCGGATTGATCCTCATTCCATCCCGATGGCTTCCGCCAATTGTGCAGCTGTCACTTGCGCAACAGCAAGATTGTCCACCTTGGTGACTTCCACAGATCAATTACAACCTGTCTTATTATCCAGAGATCGCCCGTCATGTTTAAATTCCGCAAGCGACTAAAACATAGTGCTGCCTGAAGGCCCATTATCGACAAAAGCATCTCACAAATAATTAACACTATGCCACTGCTTCTACTGCTGTCCAAAGTCATGGAGTCCATAGTAGCAGATTCGCTGATGGAAGACCTAGAGAAGCACAATGTTTTGTCACCAACTCAATATGGATTCCGACAGAAGCGATCCTGCGCTATCAATTTGCTGATCGCACGAGAAGAATGGACAAGAGCAGTTGATGATGGTGACGCGGTGGACGTAATTTATCT